CCCCAGTCCCCGGCCGCGGTTCCGGGTAGAGCGCCCTGACCGGCCGCAGCGAAGAGGGTGCGGTAGCCACGGGCGCCGGACGCCACTGTGGGGTCAGGGCCCGGGAGGCGTGGACGGAATCTGCTGTCACTTATTTATCTTCGGGTGGAGCCGACATCTGCGCCCCGGGCACTGAGGGAAGGTCGGGGACGCGTGTGCGGGGACAGGTTTTCCCGATGACCGCCTAGGCCCGGCTATGGTATTTCCTTATTTTTTGACCGGTCCTTGGTTCCCTGACAGAAACGCTTTTGTTTAGCAGCCCCACAACTTGACATAGCCGCCTAAGAATTGCTGGTTGCCGCTGTCTAAACATCTTTGTATTTTCCGAAAAGTTGTTCTGTTGCACGATCTAGGCTTTTCCTGCGCGCTTAAATTGACTTAAATGTGGCGATAACAAAGAGTTGATTTGTTTCCTTGTGGCTTGTAAAATTCCGTGAGAACAGGCGTCTGTGAACTTCTGCGCAGGTTAAAAAATAATAACAAATTAGTTCTTTAGTAACCTCCAGGTTAGCCCTTGAAAAAGTTCTGAAGAGCTGGTTCACCTCGTCGCTGCCACTCGTGCTTCTCCGGCTTTGTGGTTAAACCAGCTTCAAACTTAAATCAGAACTTTTTACGTAGAGACTTGCCCAATAACGCGCTCTAATAGTAATAGCGATGGTTAATATTTATTTTGTTCTTTTCTATGCTAAACACTGTTTTGAGAGCTTTGCTCTGCGACATTCGCTTTTACGGCATTGTTATTCCCACTTTGATGAGGAATCTGAGGCACAAAGAAGTAAAGTAACTTAGACGAAGTTTCACAGCTAATATAATCATCCCTGATGTGACTGGCTCCCTGCAAATTTTAATGAAGCTTTTAACGCTGCTTCCCTATTGCCTTCTTTATATGTGGCGCTTTTGGGTCTACAAAACTCTTACATTTCATTTACTTCTCTCAACTAGGGATGTAATAGCCTTGCGAGGTGCCTTTGTGTACATATACATTTCACACACTGTCAAATTCATTTCTCTGTGCTTGTTGATCATACTTTTGTACCCTGAGCAAAAAGTCCTTTGGCTATTTTGGGGGTAAATAGGAGTTCATAAAGTTCATGTTTGTTTTGTGGTTTTTAATTTTAATTCCTTTGTATCATTTCCTGAAAGTGCACAGACACCTGTGTATGCCTTAAAGCACACCAATGTGTGTTAATGCTCTTCTGGTGAGATCTTACTGAGTGCTTACTCTTTATTTGGAATAATTATACTTAAGGTATTGCTCCATGTCAAGAAAAGCAAAATCAAAAGCAAAATCACTTCATAAGTTTATAGAGTTTACATTTCATTCATCAGCTATCAGACTTTTGATTGCCTCTATGCCCAGTAGTGTTAGGCCCAGTTGGCTATACAAAAGAAATGTGTCAGGGCAGCAAACTTTAGGGAGGTTAGTCTAGTTTGGGATATGTAGTTGTTGAGATTAACAACAACTACATATACCTACCTATTAATGTCTGTGAGATTCATTAATACATTGGCTGTGTGCTTAACTGAACTGAAGATCAGTAAAGCTGTAAAGAATGGATAATTGAAGGATGGCTGTAGAACACTGAATAGGGGTGTGATGAGGAATTTTAGTGAGTAAACTGTTCATAGTCTTGGAACTCAGAAGGGAAATGATTTTTCTAAGAAACAGTAATCCTGATCTGTTTGAAAAGCTCCTACTGAGAAAAATAGCTTTTGTGGGTAAGGCTGTGATTAGTGTTGTATCAGGTCAAAGTTAAGAGATGATATTGGAAGTTTTGAACTTAAATGGTTGATTCTCAACTGGGGAGACCAGAAGTGCCACTGGCCTCTAGAGACCAGGCATGCTGCTAAGCAGTGGCACCTTGTCCCCAGCCCTCCACCCCCCCCAAATATCAGTAATTCCCCGATATCAGTGGTGCTGAGGTTGAGAAACCCTGCTTTAAGCTAATTGTTATGTGGCCAGCCCCTGCTTTCATGTAATATAGATATGTATGAATGATGAATTTTAGGAGCTTGAGTACAAGCAATATTAAAGTTGGGGGAGAAGCTGGCTTACTCTCAAGGAGGTTGATGAAGGTGTAGGGGGAGGGAGATGGATGAGAGCAGTGAGAAACAGACAGGTAGTGGTAAAATTAGACAAATGTTATTTAAGTAACATTTTTCTAAGTTTGAAAATAACGCATGTTTATTGTAGGAAATTAGAGAAAATGTGGAAAAAGTTAAAACCACGTATAAACCTCCTCATCCTCAAGGGAACGGTTGTTAGCGTTTTCATGCATTAGTTTGTCATATCTTTTTTTTTTTTTTTAGGCTGGTAACTGTTTTCCTTTTTATAAAATTAGGTTATACATTTTTTTCTCCCTGTAGATTTTTTTTTCTTTTTGACTCAGCATATCATGAATATCACCCATTCTTTGAAAAAATGTTCTTTTTAATGGTCATAGGCTTCTTTGTGTGTGTGTCCTTTTGAAATCAGGAGTTTTGCTTTTGTATTCAAAAGAGGCATTTTGAATTTTAGAACATAATGATTGGTTATTATGTTCTCAAGGGGGTGAAATTCTATGGCATCTCCAAGCTTTTAAATCTAGGAAGCCACGAGAATGGGGAAGCTACTGAAATAAATTGAAATTTTTACAATTATTTTTGTCTCATATATGTCAATGCCATTCACAGAGACACATGAGGTTTTAATAAGCACCCTTGATACCTATCATCTGACATACTTCCTTAACTACTAATTCATCTTCCTTTTCTTTTCTTTTTTTTTTTAACCCTTTGTGTTTTGTACTAAATTATTTTTCAGTTATTTTCTTAAGAAATCTTTCTGGGAAGTTTACAAGAAATATTTTTTTCTACTAGCATATTAAATGAGGTCCAAGTTTGCTGGTCAAGAGTCTTTAGATTGAAAGATCAAAGGAAACTTTTGGTTTTTAAAAAATGTATTGCTTCAGTTTCTAAGATGTGGATATTATCTTTCGTGGGTGTGGGAGGAGGAATTATCTTTATAAAACTGCCTGCTCAGGATGCCTTGTAACATCATACCAGTTAGTATTACATTGCAGTTTTAATATCTTTATACTTGTTGATCTGTATCAATTAATGTGGTGCTTTCTGGAAAACGTATTTTTGGGAAAGTACATGGTACCTTTAAATGGAGCATACGCTTCAAATTGGATAGGCTATAACTTGATTTTGCTGAATTCATATGCTGGTTTACTTCATACTCATTTCTAAGTATGAAGGACTTCTTAAAAATGACAGAAACATGACACTGTATTTAACAGAATACTGGCAAAGTCATTGGCCAGCCTATCATAGATCTGCTTGCTTCATGGCAGTCTCTCCAATTTTGTCTGAACATTTGCAGATACTCTCCAGAATGTCTTTGAGATCAGTCATTGAAACAGTTTTAATTTCTCCTTGAAGCTTGGGAATGTTGTCCATCACCACTTTGCAGACTTTGTAGTGGCTTCCTTGAGGGAGATAGGTATACTCCAAATGTTTCAGAATTTTCAGTGTGGGGTACTGCTTTTTCATTTTCAGCTGGTCCCTCAGTTTGCATTCTTTTTTTTTTTTTTTTAAGATTTATTTATTTATGCATACAGAACTGGGGTACAGGCCAGAGTGCAAGGTGGCAAGAAGACCCACTAGAAGCAGAGCTGGGAGCCGAACAGGCAGATCAATAAGTAGCCTGCTGAGGGGAACAGCAGGCTAGTCAGGAGAGGCCTGCTGCACCATGTGAGTCACCTGGGGGAAGGGGGGAAGGAGGATTGAACTCACACTGAAGTGGCTGTGGCTAGCTTGCAGTGCTGAACCTTAATCTGTTTTGCCATGAGGGAGGGCCAATCAGTATGCATTCTTAAGGACTGCATGACAGTATTTGTCACTTGATTTTTTTAGTTTCTGAACTTGTCTCACTTTTAGTAGTAAGTTGTAGAGTCCACAAAGCTCTGATAAAGAATGCTTAACATTTTTTGAATTTCTCAGTCATAATTATGGATGTGAGTTTCTGGGTCTCCATGAATCATCCATGTTCCTGACCATTATGACAGGCAGTCGGTGTTCTTGATTTCTCACAGAACCTGCTCATACCCTGCAGCTGTCTCAATGCTCTTCTGCCATCTCACCCCACTCCAAGAGGGAATGGAGATGGGGAACAACTGTCCCCCTTATACTGTATTCTCCTTCTGCACCACTCTCATTCTAGGATCCTCAGCTACTGAATTATTTTATTTAATCTTCACAATATCACTCTGAAAATAGGAGGAAAAGTAACTAAGATTACATAACTAGTAAATGGTAGTTATGTAAGAAAGCAAGACTTAACCTAAGAGATCTGACTCCAGAAACATACTACAAAATCCTTTCAGTTTAATCATATAAGAATAGTACCACTTCATGTTAAATCTTTCTAAGACACATTAAAACATAATTTGCTTATTATCTGTCAAATTTTCAAATGTGAAAAACTGATAATATAGAATCATGTCATTTTCCACCTCATGGCAGGAGTCAGATTATGGGAGGCAGTACTCCATTTCTACCACATTTGCCAAGCTTACGTATTTGTCCAGTTTAGTAGATACAACAATGGCTCTCCATTTTTTAAAAATGAATTTTATTTGAAGTGATTTTTTGAAGAAGCACTATACCCAGTCATATTATAGGAAAGGGCTTTTAACATACATTTAAGAGCTCTATATTCTTACTTGT